TATGCAACACAATGATCAAAGCTTGTTTACTCAAAGATGAATACATTAAATCGATTCAGATATTCAAAGACATGTTGAGAAATGGCATTTGTCCTGATAATTACACACTTCCTTATGTGCTAAAAACATGTGCAAAGATGAAAAGATTGGATCTTGGGGAGTTGATTCATGGGTATTGCTTGAAATTGGGTTCCTTGTTTGATAATTATGTGGGCAATACTATGATTCTCATGTACTCTGCTTTTGATGATATGGAAGCAGCAAAATGTGTGTTTGATGAGTTTTCTTGGCATCGTGTTGTTTCATGGACAGTTTTGATTTCTGGGTATGCTAAAATTGGGGATGTTTACACAGCAAGATTGGTTTTTGATGAAGTTCCATTGAAGGATTTTGGGTGCAATGATTTTAGGGTATGTGCAGAATAATTGTTTCAAAGAAGGATTAAAATTGTTTAGGCTATTGCAATTGAGTGGTAATAAACCTGACGAAGCAATATTTGTTGGCATATTATGTGCTTGTGCTCATATGGGCTCTCTTGAAATTGGGATATGGATTCATAGTTATGTAAAGAAATTGAGATTGCCATTGTGTGTTAAATTGGGAACTGCTCTTATTGCCATGTATGTGAAATGTGGGCGGTTGGGTTTAGCTGATGAAGTGTTCGATGAAATGCCGAACATAGATGTTGTTACTTGGAATGCCATGACCTCAGGATATGCTATGAATGGGAATGGAGATTGTGCACTTGAGATGTTTAACTAGATGCAAAAGGTTGGAGTGAGACCGGACGATGTTACGTTTATTTCTTTGTTCACTGCTTGTAGCTACTCAAACTTGGCATATGAAGGTCTGAATTTCCTGTATATTATGCTTAATGTGTACAACATTGAGCCCAAGAGTGAGCACTATGGATGCATAATCAACTTTCTTAGTCATGCTGGACTTATCGAAGAAGCAAATTATGTAGTGCAGAGAATGCCGATTTCAAGTGCTCCATCAGAAGCAGCAATAGCTTGGAGGGCGTTACTTAGTGCCTGCTGTAGACAAGGGCAAATCAATGAAGCAGAAGTTGTTGCTAAGAGAATTGTGCAATTAGAACGCCATAGTGGAGCCTATATTCTGCTCTCGAATGTATACTCAGATGCTGAAAAATACGATGAAGCGAGGAGGATTAGGAAGGCAATGAAAAGTCGAGGGGTCGAGAAGACTCCAGGCTGCAGCTCAGTTGAGATTAATGGTGTTGTGCATGAGTTTATTGCTGGGGAGAAGACACATCTCCAGATGGATAAAGTATATGAACTTCTTCGAATCATCAACAAACACTTCGACTTTTCGCAACGTAATTCAAGTTTGCTGCCTTTACAAACAGGAGGAATAAGATCTCTTCCAAATTGATTTCACTACTGAGTTTGAAGCTTAGAAAAATGATGAGCACTTTAGTTCATACAATCATACTCAATTTCTCCATTTC